GTAACATATTGGCCTTTATGGCTATTATTATGGGTTTAGGGTTTAGGGTTTAGGGCCATTATTTTACATATTTTGGGGGTTTAGGTAATCCCAAACCCAAACCCGCCGAATGCATTGCTGGGTTTGGGGGCCTCTTGGCAGGTGGGCTGTGACAGCTTGGCTAGACTTTGTTGGGTTGCTGTTAAGGAACTTAAATTAAGTTAACCATAATGGGTGTATATAGTAAATAATAGGGTTTCCCCAATGTAGTAACTTAATTTAAGTTCCTTAACAGCAACCCAGTTTGTTGTGAGTTGTCGTGTTGTACAGCTGCCGTAGCAATCAGCGCGCCGCTCGTTGGTTCAGAGTTTCGTGTGCAGTGTTTTGGGCGCGCGAGATCAACTGGCGTGTAGGCAGATTCCATGGAGCATTGAGATTCAAAGGGACAATCGTTTGAACGTGAAATTGAAGCCATGACCGTAGTACGGCAGCCTATGGCCGATGCCTTAAACTCCACATAGTCCGCAAGTAGCTTTCTGGAACATATCAGCCAGTTTTACAGCCCTTCACATGTTGTTTTTGTGGGCTGTTCGGCCCGCTCAAACAGCCGTGTCAGTGTTGTTCCAGAGATGGTTGTAAGCCCTCAATTTCTGAATTCACAGAGCCGAACCCCTCCTCCCCCCAAAGCCCTTTGTTGTTTCTCTGGACCCTTTTCTGGGTTCCATGTTATTCTCAAGAGGGTGAGTCCGAGCTTCTTAGTCCTGAAAGGCATCTACGATGGCGATGAGTTTCTAGAGCCCAGCTACGCCTTTGTCAGTACCTCAGGGCTAGAGTGCCAGGATTATGCGATAGGATTTAGGGTTTATGCTTGAGGCTTTCGGTTTGTGTGTTAGGTGAAGGTGGTTTCAGGCGCAGGGTTCTGGGATCACGTTAGGGGTAAGGGTTCAGGGCTCCAAGTTTTGGGGTCAGGGTTAAGGGCCGTATTATGTCAAGGAGGTTTAGGGTTGCAGGGAAAGTTGGTTGGGGATTCCGTGTACATTTTGAGTTCGGCTACGGGCCTCCTTCTAGAATTACGACATGCGAGGGTAGTAGTGTTGGGCTTTGGGGTGCCTGGGCGCAAGGGTGAACCGTCCAGCCATACTAAGGCTGAATAGTACTTGAAGGGTCAAGGGAACTTAGTACGTAGGTTAGTAACGCCTATAACATATAATATGTACGTAGGACCTCAGGGTTTCTCTGTAGGCATTTCATCCATGGTTGCAATGGATGAAATGGTTGGTCCGGGCCACGGGGAAGTTTGGAAATCATGTAAGATGGGAGAAATGGATGAAGTGGTTAAGACCAACCATTGCATCCATTTCATCCATTCCCTCCTGGCATATATCACGCTGAGACACAATGTTGCGTGCGTTGTGGAGCTCCTGTGCCTTGAAGAACCCTTCTACACGCGGGTGGAGTTGATCCGTGCCGTGGTGGCGTTTGCCAACAGCTTTCGAGATGATATGAAGCGGCCGTGTCACGGGCCAAAAGCCGAATATGGCAACTTCTACATACCGCCACCGCGTGCAAAATGGTACTTTAACAATGTGCGCATCAGGCACGGCATAGCTTGTGGCAGAGCCAATCTCATGGCAGCTGGTGCGACCTCCAACGAGTCCTTACACGCGGAGATCCACAAATCGTTTAAAGAAACCTTGGACATGAAGCTAGATGTGCCGCGCTCAGACAAGTTCCTCTCGCACAGCCGAGCCCTGTATCATGCTACAACTTGGCAAATGACCCACTCGACAGCGCCGCAGTGGACAGGAGGATCATGGAACTCTTGGTGGGAAGAGCTGCAAGACGCCGGGACTGCGAAGACCAAGACGGACCTCCCGCTTGATAAGGCCAGACTAATCAAAAGGAACGAGCACGTGGGGCCGCCAAGAGAAAAACAGCGGCGGCAATCGGAAAAATCTGCGAAGCGGTGGGGATTTGGGAAATCATCTGATGAGGGACCGCTTGGTTCCGATGACCCAGAAGGATAAGGGGTGTCCGCACCCACGGATGAGAGTTTGTTCTCGCCAGGTGGCACATGTCACACGCAAATGGCAACGCAACATAGAAACATACTTTACTTAGATGACCGCAAGAAGGATGCTGGCGCTCGAGGCTGCCGAGTCTGAAAAGCTCCTTGCATTCTGTCTCCTTGGGGAGACATTTGAGCTTCATAGCTTTTCAAGGCTACAGGACTTATCCAGGATGTCTTATCGTGATGTGAAGAGCTTTAGACTTAGCGTGCCCCGTTAAATGCTGTATCGCCAGTTCCAGTTCAGGAAAGCTTACATCATAAAGTCAGTGACACAAGAACTGAAAAGGCGATCTACGCACCCTCCATGCGACCCACTTTGCCAGCTCAAATGGCCATCTGAAGACCCCTGAGAGTCGAAGCTTTCTGATTTGTCCTTCTCGTTGTCACGCATGCAGTGTTTCAAGTGCTTGCTCAGACATTGCCACAAATTAGCACAACGACTCCACTTGGCAGCTAAGCCGCCAATTGGGGATACCAACGCTTTTGCATGAGTGGCTGTTGCGGTGACTTTTGGCTAGCCTGGCTTTGTATAATTTTGCTTAGCTTGCAGGGACCGAACATGACATATGCGTGTAGGCGCAAAAGGCGTTGATATGTCAGGCCAAGGGGATTTCAGCTGTAGAAAAGCAGAGGGTGTTCACAGTCTACCTAGAGCTCCATGCCACGTAGCCTATATAGCATCCCTAGCCATCGCCGTTTTTGACGTACGGACTACGTTCCCCTGACCCTTCAAGTAAGGACTGGTACTGAACAGGAGTTGATCCTAACATGAGGATCTGCGTAGCAGTCGTTGCAGGGTTCGCGTTGCATGTTGCCGCCTTGGCCATTATTTTATTTTTGCCTGCAGTCTGTTTGGACCCAAATTTTCTGGCATTCCAGAAGACACATTAGCCTGAATAAATTACAATGAAAAACCCAAATAGCAGACAGAGGGCAGCTAGATTGGGTTTTCCGAAATCAGAGGCCCAAATTTGGGAGCCCCCGCAATGATGATCATAGCGTATTGAAGTCTTTTCTGGTTTGCATTTTTTTGGGGGGTAATGCCGGTGACCTCTGGGGCATATGCTGCAACCGAGGCCCAAAACGCAGCTTAAAGAATGCTCGGCTGTTGAACTGGCATTCTAGTTGTCTGTGGGTAGTACTTGGCGGGCCAAGGGGACTCAGTAAGTAGGTTAAGAGCCCCCAGAACCACACAGTAAGCCTCGTTATCCCCAAAAAATTAACCTACACTATGATGTCCCACTGAACCTGCAGGTAGCCTAAACCCTAGGCTGCGCGCTGCACCGCGGATCTGCTCCGCCAGCAAAGCGATTGCACCCCCTTTGAAAACCCAAGCCCCAAACCCACCAAGCCCTTGAATCTCCAAATCCGTAAGCATTTCAGCCGTAAGACGCTGCGTAGATCCCTTAACCTTTTTTTAACCCCATGAGCCTGATGTTAATCTATGGTATGGACTCTTTCAC